TTGAAAACCAACAAATACCCTGAGACAATACTTGAAATAAGCAGACATCTACTCTTATACCTTTAAAACACAACAACAATTATTACCTTTTTCCATTTTGTATACTTAAAACGTAAATATTTTTTCGTAAATACTCAACTTTACATAAAAACTTTACTTTACAATAAAAGAGGTCTTATTTTATGTTCGATGCGAGACTCGCAAATCTCTAGTAGACCATGCACCTTATTTTGTAATATTTATTTTTTTATGAAAAATCACTGCATTAAATTAGCTTTCGTCGGCACAAAAGAAAATAAGTGATGAAGTATGATTTAGAAGGCAAAAGCGGTTAATTTGAATAACTATTAATTGATGCCCAGAGGCAGATAATTACATAGCAATTATAAAGCATACAACTATGATAAGCTCTAATAGATTAGTGAGAGATTAAGTGAATGGTTAACAGTAAGACTAGACACTACTCGTTCTGCTTGTTAGATCTTTAAAAAATAGCTAGATGTCTTAGATTTAAAATTATTTTCTTTCACTCCTCAAATCATACTACATCGGCCTATAAACTCTTAAATCAAATCAAAATAATTATTTATTTTTTTGCAATTTCAGAGTAGTAATAATTGAGTTGTAAATTAAATGTATATGTCGTCCAATTATAACTTCTCATGGTCGTGTTGTTTGTATTTATTTTCTGAATATCGTTTTGGTGAAAGCTAAATGTTTAATTGTATGAAATTAAAATTTCAGCTGTTTAACATGAAAAAAACGAATTAACAGTTATGAGAGGCATAACGTGCACACGGCAATATGCAGTTCAAATGAAAAAAAAAAATGTAATATTTCAGGTTTTGCCTGCTAAAATGAACTTTTCGATGAGTCTGAGCAGCGCACACGCGTTACATGATTCATACCTCACGGTGCCTGACGCAATTTTTTAACGTGGCACGGCATGAGATCATTGACAAGTTAATAGTTATCGACGGAAGTACACGTGAATAAAGCGAAAACGAATACCGACCAAATAAAAAATCCATCATTATTGAAGGTGTAAACGCGCTGTACGTAGGTACCGGAAACTAGTTGGGTACCAACCAACACGATAAACCGGATTTGATTTTCGCATTAATCGGTTTTTTAATTTTTACCTTATTTAATATTCCACTGTTTATCGCGTATGATGGTCACACCCACGCACCTTACAACAGTCGAGACGTATCATTATCTGGCACGATGTCTTCACAAAACAATGCAATAATAAACGCCTATTTCCTCCGATATAAACCTAGCACAACGTAATGCATTGTTGTGGTTTAGTACAGCTTAATGAATAATGTAAAAAATTAATAAAGGGTTTTGTATAACTGTGCAGCGTCACGCCTTTACCGAACACATTAAACACAGCAATCTCCTGTTTTCATTTTATTATTATTTCTTCATTTTGTCAACAGTTTCTTTATTTTTAATACCCCTCGTAGGCTGTAGGATGTTAATTGATAACTACAGATGATTAGCAATTAAGNAACACAGCAATCTCCTGTTTTCATTTTATTATTATTTCTTCATTTTGTCAACAGTTTCTTTATTTTTAATACCCCTCGTAGGATGTTAATTGATAACTACAGATGATTAGCAATTATGTTACAATGTTTACAGGATTTATCAGTAATTCATTCCAAAAGCTGAAAAGTACACCGCGTAAAATCGAAACATTAAAACACAAGTCGTTGTCAACATAATAACGTATGTCCGAAATAAAATTATTTTTTTACAAATTATCTTACAACTAGATAGGAAAATACAAAATAAAAAATTAGGCACGCAACCTTTTGCAACTGGACCACTCCCCATTTAGTTTTTTATCAAACGATAATTACATTTTTAGCAATCATAAGTTTAAGATACAAAGTGATATTTATCAAACTTTTTTTATGCCTGATGGCTCTCAATTCTATGTCTGACTAATCTGTAACCTCAATAACAAAATTATGCATTTAATCAGACATCTTCTTAAAGATGAAAAATAAAACCAAATTCATATTAAAAATTATTTTTTCATAGACATGGCCGACCCCAAGTAGTTGGGATTAAGGCAAGGAAAAATAAAAAGATTTTCTAGTAATTTATATAAGACAATATCTACTTAAACCGATAGTTAAAACAACCAATCCTATTTTAACTCGATAATGTTAAAATATATAGAACGTTTATGGTATGCTTTTAGAAATATAAAAGAATATCAACTATAACATTAAATGTATAAAAATTATTGAATTTATAAAAAAATATATTTTTTTTAAATACCAACTGATTTTTTTTATTATTTGTAAAGTATCAAGTGATTATACATAAGTACACGAAAATAACTCGACGGTTATTGTTTTATTCTTAAAGTAGTAATAAAATATTAATAAGGCTTTTAAAATTGCCTATATCGAACCCCTGAAATGTGTTTGAATACAATACAAACATCAAGTATAATTTTTATACTTGCACTCGATTTTGTTCATTTTCTGTACCAATTTTTTTTTAAATGATGGGCTTGCATTTCGCAAATTTTCGATTGTTCCATACAATGATATATCGAACATTTAAAAAAAAACATCTTTGTGATTCTCAATGATACTTTTATGGTAAAAAAAGTGAAATTTTATATTACATCTCCTTTATAATTAGTTCTTATCCGAACGTGAGAAGTATATTATATTTTTTTACCATTAACTATATGTATAATTTGTCGTTAATTCGACAGTTTAGTCGATAAAAAAATTAATTTTTGAATTAATTACTATATTTACAAGTGTATATTATAATTAAAACAATACAAGTTAAATTAATTTGTGCTTATATCAACAAACATTTCGTTTCTAGAAGTTAACTAATAATTATCAAGTCAAATAATCAAGATTAGGATGATATTTTATATTTAAAGAAAATATTGGACCTTAAAGTTAAAAAAAGTATCACTTTATTTCTCTCTAAATAATATTCCCATGAAGAACTCAAATGTATTAAGATTATTTTCGTTTAACTCGTTATTTGTTATTACTAATCAAGTAGTATTGTCTATCCATATTCTTAATTACTTAAGGTACTAGAGAAAAACAAATATTGAACACTTTCAGTTGACCTTGTATAAGATGAAAAAGGTGATAATATTGTGTTCAAACATTGTTTTAATGAAACATTCAATATTATGGTAACGTACACACGAGGATGTTCTCACGAGTATGACTAAGTACTAGGTATCGCACTAAAATGTTATGGAAGGCAATGTACATTTCATTTTTTTATAGATACATCGCATTTATTTTTAGTGTTTCGAAAAAATCTAGTTTTACTCTGCCCCACATTTTGTTAGTAATATTAAACAATGTTTTTATCCAAATTATCTAAACTTAATTTTTTCATGGGAATTCATTAATGCCACTAAAGCTAAAATACTGAGAGTGCCAAAATGATGTAATGTTCACTAACCCTGTGGAACTCCATCCCCGCCAAATAATATTTCTTAGATAAACACTAACCATCAAAATAACTACAAAGACGTTACAAATTTTGTAAAAAAAATCATTTATGCTACTGATAAAAAATCCTTCATAAAAAGTGAAAGTTATTTTCATATAATTTTCATGAATTAGGGTGTGGGATACTGATTAAGAGCTTGGAAGTTTTTGGCATCTAAGTATCCCCGATAATTTTGTCCATGTTAGAAATACAATGTTCTTTTACAGAGAACCACGTATAAAATTTTCTTACTAAAATCTAACCAAAATTTAGTAGCTTTTTTAGCTTTGATGTGAAGCTTAAAAGATAATATATGATATTTTATCAAGTATTTGTATCTGTCTACAAATTTACTCAACTATCACTAGAGCAATTTTGATATATATAGAGTGATTCTTTTAATACTAACCACCGGATTTCTATTAAAACAATATTTTTTTTAAAGAGAAATTGTCTAGTGTTAAAAGAACACTAGGAATGTCAAAATAACCTGAATTCAATTGAACCCTCCAATGAACATAAAAAATTAAAGAAAAAAAATCGTCGTTAATTATAGACATTTAGAAAAATATCACCAAAAATATTTAAATATTCAATATTATTGGAAAATTGTTTTTTTTTTATTACAATGTTTTAAAATATATATCCTGTATCGTTTAATAACTTTTATAAATATTAAATTAAAGTTCTAGAAGTAAACTATAACAAAATAATATTAAAGGTAGTATTTGAATTACGCTATCCGCACAATAAAATTTTTTATTGACTAATTGACTGCTAAAGTTTAAATATCCTTTTTGCGTAATCACTTTGAACATTTTATAATTGCAATATTTATCACTATTAGACTTCAATCCACTGGCGTAATTGTGAGAGGGAATGGGTGTCATATATTCCCCAAGACAAAATTAATTATATGTCAATAATAAAAATTCTCGTTTAAAGTAAGGGGTGAAAAATTTTCTTATGTATAACCCACCCCCAAAGACGAAACCACCTAACACCACTGTATTTATCTATATCGGAGTCCACTATGATGATTCCAATTGTATTGGGTTTTTAACACTACTTCTGATGTTTAAAAAATATACTTTCTTCATTTATTTATCGCATACTTGAGCTCTTTATACAGGTAAATATTAGTGTCATACTTTAAAAAACACACCTGTCAATATTTAATGAGGAAAGAAATTCATCCACATTAATATGGCACCGATGTTAAAAATAGAATAATAATTATTCTTTCATATAGAGTAAATTAAAACATTCTGATTCACAATATTTAGATTGTTACCCAAATTTATTTGTTCCGTTATTTTAGTAATAATTACACTCTAAAAATTGTACACATATTATCTTCTATTTGCTTTAAAATAAAACTTATTTAAGCAATAATAAATGTGAGCATATTATTGTTCACTTATATTGAGTATATCTATTTTACTTAAGACAGTTATGAAAAATATCATCCAGGAAAGTAAACAAAAAACAAACAATTGTGTATGTACAAATAAATTATATTTTTTTAATCAACACACACATACTATGATACATACAAATTAAAATTTTTAAATATCTAATAATGGCTAACAATAACTGGTTACATATTTACAAAATGTGACATATTATATTAACTAGTAATTCATATAATTAAATATGCTTTAAAAACAATAACATGTTTCTTGCCTTAAATGGTAATATATGTCTTTTGTAGGCTAGACGCATTTTTCTCAGAGTGTTTAACATATACTTAAAAATTATAATTCCTAAATTGCAATTTGCCGAGACCGCGAATTTCAAATAAGAAATTTTTAAGGAACATTCTAAGAAAAAATTCGCTCGGGGATATTTTGAACTTATTTTTTAACATATAAAATCTTTATACTTTTTAAAAAATATATTCCCCTATACAAAACTAATGTACAAGTATTATTAATACATTTTAAACAATAATAGTGTCACACAAGATTTATATATTAGGATAATATTTATTTTTTTTGTAACATGACACATCTATTAAATTACTTAACATACAACATGTCATAATGTTAATAAATTATTAATCGAATAACATTTTAATTGTTTAAAAAGTTTTTTTTTTTTTGTTCATCTAATTATTTTTAGTGAACTAACAAACTTAAAAACTGACCAGTCTGCTCAAAATCTAATATTATTAGTTATATAACTTACTTATAAACTACCTAGTTAGTCTCTATATACATATACAATACAATACAACAGTTAGCTAATAGTTTAGCATATCACAATTTTTTTTCAAAGCTGCAATGCGTACCCAGCTCTGTAATTCGGACTATGGGTCGATCTATATAAGAAAAAAAAACATAAACAGAATGTCCGAAAAGAATTGGAAATAAAACATTGAAGACATACAATATTAATACAATTTTTTATATTATATATTATGACTAATACACACATAGGCAAAAATTTTCCGGGAGGTTTGCAAGAGATCATTCATATAAGTATACAAGAAATAGATATCAAGTCTTTGTCTTTTGTTGGTGACCTCATACCGGTATTAGTAAACAAAGCGTCCATGCCGTATTATTAATATTATTATTAACAAAAATATAAGATCAATATTAATAACATTTATAAGTATGTAAATAATTGTTTTAACATTTGAAACAAATAAAACAGAGAAGAGTATAAAGTGTTCTTACATAATCAGTTAGAAATGTGGCCTACAGTATAATAGATAGGTTTTTGTTTTTTGTTTTTTTTTTTTTTTTNGGTTTTTTTTTTTTTTTTTTTTTTTTTTTTTTTTTATTAGGTAGGTTTTAGAGGGGTTGTCTTGAAGAATCCGCAGTTCACCTTGAATGGCCACATCTATAAAAAAAAATATAAAAATAGCGAAAAATCCAAAACCCAAGGTTAATAACAGACATAAGAATGATTTTCATATAAAGTTCGTTTTGTTATGCGTTCGTAAAACAATTGAATAGGAGTAAGGTGCGGCTAAGGCGCCAAAGAACGGAAAAGTGAAGAATGAGTTTAACAAGACTAAAGAAAAACAGGAGCCGAGATACATCAAGAAAAATAGAGAGTGCTTTGCATATATACGTAGAGTATAATAATCTGTACACAAGTACAGTGTGAATCATCAACCACCTCACATAGCAGTGTAATAAAAAAAGGAACAACAAAAAGTACGCACGTGCAAGTAGCCCAAAGAACTCAATCGATGTTTGAAGTCAATTTTCGTCGATTAGAGTGTGTTATTCATATCGGTAAGCCAAGAAAAACGATACACAAGCGTGTAACGCCTTTCCGGGTACAATTTGTTGTCAACATGCATTTGTTAATAAAGAATTATAATTTAGTGATTTTGGAAACATTAAAAAATGTACGACTCCAAATATCGGTTAGTTCTTTATGGTATGTGCACTATGATGTATTAGATACGATTGTGACTCGAATTGTAAACAGAAATTTCTAGCAGTTGGTCGGTCACGGGAAACGCCTACAGGTTATGACATTAGAAAATGAAGAGCCGCAACACAATGTGTGTATGCAGCAAATAACGGTTTACCGTTAACTCCTAATTGCGAATTATTATAAACTATTAAAAAACTCGAGTCATGCAAAAAATAATTCGGCGAAAATTCACTTACTGTTGAGAGTAAATTGAAAAGAGAAAAACAGCACGGAGAGAAAACTTTTAAAAGCGTTTCCCGCACGTTTTATCGACGACAACTGTGCCAGAAACTGATATCGCGGGTCATAACAACTCGGTACATATCAAACTCTAACTAACCTGTGTTGTTGTAAGCTGTCTTGCCTTTTGAACGACTTGTAGCACATCTCACACCGGTAGCTCACGGTAGGCAGATGATTGCGTTCGTGGATGAGCAGCGAATAGTGTTTGTTGAACGTGCGATTGCAGTACTTGCACACAAACTCCATTTTCACCCTCTTGGGCCGGAGTCTGTGGTTCTCGGAGTCGAGCTGTATTACCGCGTACATGGTTGGGCCGCGAATAACTGAGCTTGTCGAAACGGAAAAGGCTGAACACGGCGAAGGTCGTCGGTATCACGAGTAGCCGCGCACTTGTGTTTGATTTTCAAGTATATCTCCGACTAAAAGTGGTTACTGTTGTGACCTCTCCGAAAACGTCTAAATGCAAAAAAATGAACAAACTCGTTAATTAGACTTGTGAAGCAAGAGGATATTGTCAAGGCTTTCGGGTTGAGCGCGTTCGACGGTAAACGAGAACCGACAGTCTCCGCCTTCCTACGACGGCTGTACGGTTACAGCGATGACCGACTTGTTGCGGTCCCGATAAATTTCAAGGCGCTAGCAATCAAAGGACAACTTCAACGACGAACAAAAATACAATAAAACGTACACACGCGCGCTAACAGCCAAAATACTCTTTAAAAAGAACTATTAATCATCGCCAGACGGCACCCGCAGAGACGCGTCGGTGGTTATACTGACAAAAAGGTCGGGCGAGCAAAAAAAAATACCGCCGTGTCACATAAATGTATAATAATATACTCCCACATAAAAAATTACCAGGTACTTGCGGCGGCGTTGACGATATTCCGTCTGTGTAAAAAAAACAGATCAGTCAGTCTCTCGACCCGTCATCGGCTCGCTGCGTGACAAAAGTAATAATAATAATAGTGTGTACGTTACCGGTGATGACATGCGAGCACAGGAAAAAACGTCGGTCGGATTTTTCTGGACAGGAGTAGCGCAGCGGTGCGTGAAATTCCGTTGGCGTGCAATCGTCGAGTGTAAAGGGTTATAATAATATAGGAGGAGCCCGGTAGTCATGAACGAACACCAGTAGCCGTAGCCGCCATTAATTCGTCGTCCCCTCCAAGCAAAGAACCGGCTACCGCGTTACGCGACCCCGCACCTTTGTTAAACACCGGTAGTCGTCCAGCGTTTGGCGCACCAATCAACGGGTTAATGTCTTCGAACACACGTTAACGGTATCGTTCCGTACAAACTCAATGAAAAAACTAACTACGGGACACGCGGATAGTCACCAATTCGATACTGGCAGTACGACGATCGAGATTTTATTCGCGCGTCAAGCATTTATCTAAATATACCTAAATATAATAAAAAAAAAATCAAACGATCGTTATATTTAAAACTAGTTTTGCGGGAAGCTAACGGAAATATTAAATTCATAAAGACAAAAAAAATATTTTTTTAACAGACGTAGAAAACTTACACTGAATTAATGAAAAAACGAATATTCACTTATATTAATATTTGTTTTGTACTTACTGTTTCGATAGGCGAATGTATAAAATAACAACACTGCAACATCAACTAAGAGAAGTTCAAGAAGACTTGTAGTATGCGTAGGCCTGAGACGGTAAGTGGTGATTATTGCGGAACACACTGGACTGTGCTACACGAAAGTCAGAAGCGGTCTATATGACGGTCATGTGTGTATGTGACGGCAACAAACGGGCATGCATACGTTGGCAGTAGTAGTCTGGATCGGCGTGCGCGCTTCGGGTGCGCTACCCGATCGTCGGCGTCGGGTGCTCGGTCTCACCAGGGGCGGGGCGGGGCTGGGGATCCAATGGGCGCCCGTGGGAAATGAACGGGAGCCGGCTCAGGCCCCGCCCGATGGCTTTCTGGTTGGCCACCGGGCGCGCCACCACGCACGAACACACGCACGAACACACGCGGCGGCAGCAGCGGCGGCTCGGTCGCGCTGTCCCGTGTTTTGTTTCCACGGCCCCTGCTTCTCATGCGACCACCGCCCCCCGATACACTATCGTACCGGTCGCCCCTAACAGCCGCATCCGTTGTCGACGCCTCACGGTGGCCGACCGGTTTCCCCCGGGCGGCTACTAAAAAGGATCCTGCGATTCAACGACAACCGAAAACAACGAAATAATACATAATAATAATAAATACGGTAGAAAATTATACTGCGTGAACGTATGCAAACGGCCGCCGTCGTCGTGTGTTCCGACGTTTTTTTGGATCACATTTCATGGGATTCCGTCGAAATCACACGATATCTGAGAATATTCTCCTTATTATTGTTCACGCGAGACGTAATTATTCGTAAACAGTGTCAGCCATCAAAAATATTTACTTTCTTGTCCGTTTAAACTTCTAATAAACTGTAATGATCATTAAATTAGCAGCATACGTAACACAGACAATATTATATTTTTCAATTTATTCGAGTTTGAGTCAAATAAATTTACCGCTAACTAGACGCGATTTTGGCGTTATAAATAAAATACGCTTTCTAGTTCTATTATTTTGTGTAAAATAAGTAGTTATATTAATATAAATGACTATTATTCAGTGTTTTATGTATTAAAGACGCACTTGACGTGTAGGCGGTATACTGACAGTAAATCTGCCGTATTTTTAAAACTTTATTTATAGAAATACATGTTTTATTTGATAATACTTCACATTTCTTAATAAGCTATCACGTATCTATTGGCTTACCAAACAAACAACTCGGTTGCATTCAAATATAAATATTTCCCCGTCCTCCTTATGTTTTACTACAGTTTATTTGGTGAAAATAAAACAAATAGGTTAGTAAGATAAAAGCAACGAAATGGTAAATTTTGTAGATTCATTATTTTTCTTAAAATCTCTCCGATTTTACACTAAATTCAAAACATATTTCTTAAATATAAAAGTTATCTTTGTAAGTAGGGTAATTAAAATTAAAAAATATTGGCTTTTCATTAAACATAGATANAAAACATATTTCTTAAATATAAAAGTTATCTTTGTAAGTAGGGTAATTAAAATTAAAAAATATTGGCTTTTCATTAAACATATTATTACCATATTATTAAACATATTATTATAACATATAACATATTATATACATACTATTACCGAATTCATTTACCAGACTTTATCCTGGTAGAAAACTATCTAGAAGTCATACAATTTTAATTTTAAGTGATTTTTTTCTCGTCTTTAATAATTTGTTGAGTGTTCAGAATGAAAATATAAAAAAATAAAATACAACTCTATTAATGATTGTCTCCAGTTAAAGTAGCCTTGAGAAATTACAATAAATTAAAAGTATAAACTCCAAAATAACAAGATAATAACGTTTGTGTAATTCCTAAGACTTATGCGCTTGCTACGAAAAAATGTTCAATTCAGTATTTACATGTTAAGTGATTATATAGTTTAATAACATTGCATGCTTTTGTCAAAATGCGCATTTAAGTAAAGCACAGTTTACATACTTCTTGTTACATTTATATAGATAAGTTTATTATTGTTAATAGCAACTGCAATTTACCGCCAGAGAAATAATAATGAAATGTGAAATAAAAGCGATAACGATGACTTTGGACGTTAGTTATCAAAAATAATAATTTAAACGAGAGGTAATACCTGTCATTAAGTTGACCGCTGAGCCACTCGTGTAATTTTATAACAATCCTATGAAGTAAAATTGAAAAAAAAACCCAAAACTCGTCTAAATACAATTATTCGGGAGCGTTACATCCATTTATCGAAACTTATTGTCTCGTTTGACGATATAAAGTCGTTTAACATTGTACCTAATTATGTCCACTATACTGTACAATTTTCTTAATCTATATAAATATGTTCGATGACTTACCGTATTTCCCTACGTCGTTTCCTGTTGACTTGATAATCTATTAATAGACGATATGATAGGGCGCGAGCAGGTCACTTCAAATTATTTAAATGTCGGTTAATTCAAAATAAAATTATTAATTACTGAGCATTGAAAATTAGGTAGGGATAATTCTAGTAACTAAAGTATACATTTTAACATAAATAAAATAATACTTATAAAATACAAATTAATTAATTATGTATAAATTGTTGTATTTTGTTAGTTTCACGGACGTTTTAGTTTTCATATGACAGTTGAAGTAAAATTTATTTTCGATTAAACACAAATTGTATGTAATTTATTTACTAGACCAGCAAAAACAACTACATTTATAAACTGTAAGCGACCTATGTAATATGTTTTTTTCATTTTGCGGTATAAATTACAATTTTATTTATTCATTTTGTCTTTAGTCGCGTTTTCCCGTGATTTATAGACCGACATTTTCCATTTTTACGATTTTGTCATTTTTATACATTTCCCACAGTAATACCATTTATCACGATCACAAAGACCACAGGCCACGCGTTTTAAAATGTCTGTGGAATAAATTGCCATCGCTTAACATCAGAATATTTATAAACCGTTTGAAGCAGCCGAAAAAGTTTTCGTTTCATATGTTTGTTTTTCTTAAAAAAAAACACTTGTATGAATTCAGAAATTGAATAACAAGTTGTTCTAAACCATTAGAGAATAATTTGATTAATCTGTAAGTACACAATTTACAAACAAATTAATATTTGTCATTGACAAAATCACTAGACGGCAACGAATATTAACTACAACACTCACACACAAGAATTTCATTTTTTATCAATTAAACTTATGTGGTTATCGGTCAGGTTTATTTCATGTTTATCGCCTCCGTATGAAAGTCAGTAACAGTGATAAATCGTATATTTTACCTATAAAATTAAAATTGATCCGCAGGTACAGATAGAATATTTTTTTAAAGTACATCAGGTAACTATGGACTGTCGAGTTTTATCACTAATACCTGTACAATCGGCTTTTCTTTTGATGTTCATAAAACCTAAGAAAGCATTTTACGCCTGTATTTGTACTCTATTTTTTACTATTCCCAGAAGTATAGAAAAAAGGTGTCAATCGATGTTTAAGTCGGTAAATTGAAAAGCAGCAACGAAAAACCCATAAAAATGAGGTTTAGAAAATAAAATAAAAGATTAAAATAATTCTAAAAAAATGCTGCAATTTATAAAATTTCTTTTATCTCTCTACCGCAATGTACTTGGAATTGACACGATAGCTCGATGTGTGTGGTGTACTGGACGGTCAGGGGCATGTTTTTTGGAGATGCAGTGGCTGGCCATTAATACATCACCAACTGACCGGATGGCGATCGGGTTGTCCGGTGAAGAACTACTAAGCGGTTGGACGATCCATCACCTGAGGAAGTTCGACGGTTGACGTGCGAGAGGTAATCCCACGAGATTCGCTCTGCAGGGCTCCCAATCTGGCCGAAACAAGACCACTGGAGTGTCATTATATTATGATAGTGCGGTGCAATTTTCGACAACATACAACTGACAAGGAAAACACATAACATTCGACACAATGTACTCAGAGAGCAAAAAAAAAAATTCCTGGCTTATTACACGGTGTCACGAAATTTTTATAAACCGGACACCCGTTTCCGTGAAAAACGTTGTGGTTTGTAGAAAAAAAAGCCAATTGTTATTTTTCAATGTCATACCAGAATGATGAATAGTCTTGGGTGACAATTGACTTTGCATATTATATTTACCTTTACACAATACGGGCCTCTTTAACATGGTATGTCCGGTTTCTATTTATAATAATGTTTTTTTCGTCTTTTTACCCGGTTGCCTTGTGTTTTTTTTTTTTTTAACATTGCACGCTGTGCAAGTTATTTTCGCAAGAAATTCGGTTGACACAATGGTAGTTGATGACTTTTTAATAGCTTCAACAATTTTATTTTTTAGGTAGCTCACTTTGATTGACATGCGGGTGACCGCTGACCACACAGTATTTGAACTGAATACACATTTTAGGCAATACGATAACCACTAAATGCATACAGAGCATTGCACGGTTTTACAATAACAAATGGTTCTACACAATCCAACACAGACTACTGCACTACGGCCTTCGATCAGTATGTACACGACTCATCATCATTGATTAATTTTAAAATTGACAAATTTAAATCGTTTGCATAATAATAATTCTATCGACTAAGAATATAATTTATTTTCTATGTATGAATTATTTGTGTTAAACTAAGTGTACTGGATAGCATGTACACCGTAATATTACATTGAGACTACTGAAAATGGCTAAAACACTATAAATAGTAGTTATGATTATTTTAACCATAAAAAGTTTTGCATAATAGATATGCACTACTACATTTTTATGAAGTTCGGCGGAATCTTGCGAACTCATCTATGGAAATATTGAGTATAAAATGCGTGTAATTTATTCAGATGTTCAGTAAGTAAGGAGACGTGTTTCTATTGTTCACAATGTTTGTAATAACTGACCTGTTTCCTTACTTTTTCAACATTCTGTATAAACGTTGGAATATTTGTTATTTACATACATACATCTAAATATTTTATCATTAGGAAGAAATATGTTTGTCAGGAAATGTATAATATAATATATTCTTAAGAAATAGTTTCCGTTCACTTATTCAAATAACTACGCTAATCATACCAAGTAATAAAACAAATTATTTTGATTTTAAAATGTTGAGCGTTTCGGCGTATTATAAATAATTAGTATTTAGTGTTGGAATTATTGACGTGAGCCACGCAACTAATCTAATCATTATTATAGTTTCTCAGTGTTAACCAAATTTTAATCTAGTGGCTATTATAAATAAAACTCAAATAAATCAAAATTCTATTTATACTTTGCAATTTATTATCATTCTATTAGTTGATCCAATTTCCAGGTTACCATAAATAACAATAATATATCATTCAAGCACTTTATAAGGTTTTATTTTATGTCCATTACGATATATTTAACATAAAAACAGTTTACTCTCTAGGTTACATTGTTCAAAAACAAAAAAATTAAATTAACTTTTATAATTATTACTTCTTTAATAAGTTAAGCAAGTTGATAGTATTTTATTGATTACGATTCACTCCTAATTTAAGATAAACGATAAAATAAATTTTTATTAGGTGCATTTTATTAGGATTAGGTGCAACAACCAGGCAATGGCATTTTTTTTTAGTTTTTCACGAGTAGCATATTTATCAACATATTTTCATTTAAAACTAGCATCATGTGATTTCTAAATTACACAGAAAAATCATATTTATTCAAAATTAACAAAAAAGAAATTTTCTAAAAACATGGGACTTATATGAATGTTACACAAAGCGCTTCATTTGCTAAATTATTATGATTGAATTTATCTTCTTAAAAAATAGAGTAATTTTAAAGCCAAGGCGTCGTTTAGGTTCATTTTTAAAAGTATATTTGTATGAAGATGTCAAAACGAAACGTTTTTTGAATTCACGTTGTACACGGTACACATTCATATGACAAAATAATATTAGGCATCATAAAACTCATGGAGTGTGTGTAAAACCTTTTAGTGGCGAAAGCGCCGGCCTTTCACAATACAGAATAGAGTTGTGATGTACACTCAATTTCTGTTTATGTACAGGGACGTTGAAAGAGAGATAATTTACGCAAGGGTCGGCGGCTTCTTTTTGAGAATGGATATGAAAAATTATTCTGTGTCGGGATACGGTATATAGATAATACGGATTATTCTATGAAGACTCCTTTTTTTAACAACGGTCAGTAAGGGAAGTGAAAAAACAGATATTTTTTCCGTCCTGGGAATCCTTTGGCGGCTGTACGTTACAACAGTCCCCTATATGTCAAATTTATGGTGGGTACCCAAACGAAACGTTTTTATAACCCAGTTATTGGTGGCATGTTTGGACACACTAACATCTCCTGTACCTAGTTTCCTAACCTGTGTGTGACCGGCGGTTGTGGCGGCGTTAACGAGGATTCAATGGAACCCGCGTGAAAGTGGGTTCCTCGTGTTTACGCTTTTTCTTGTTATTATTCACCGTCCATATGCACATTATGATAAAATGTTTGTATGCAATCACATTGACCAATACAAACCCATAAAATCATTCAGTCCTCCCGAATACCTGGAACCGGTGATGTCGTTAAAGCCCCGGTGGCGGTCATCTGGGTTACTATTTTACTAGCGCTTTAAAACTTTTTATAAACTCTTTGTCGTCCTTTCATTATACTTGTAGTAACACCTTCATTTATGGAAGCCTATACTTATTATATCGGTTGGATTTTAGTGTTTTTTTTTTTTGTAGGACAATTTATATCATCTTTTTCACGTACAAATAGATTAACAACCAAGAATACCCGTAGGATATGTTTAGGAGGGATGAATATTGTAAACTATGGTATTATATTTATATGCATTAACAAAGTAATGGATATTTAATTGATGAGCCAAAATGATCAACTACTACTCCACTCAGCCTTCTTTTCTAATCACTCGTGCATACAGTTCAATACCTATTAATATTATTGATAACTTTAGTGTAATAAAATAATATTATTTACACTCCCCCTCTTCCATTGAAAAAATTATGCCCCACTGTATATTTAAAAGTTGAAGTTTTCACGTAAATAAAACATTACAAAATAAATAAATGAAATTTGCAAAATATTTCATCAGTTTTCTATTCTATGCTTTATAAATAGATATAAACAA